CCCGCAAGAGTGTCCTACAAGAGTGTCCTTTGGACATATTAGTTTTTCGATCGTGTTTGCATTCGGGTTCGTGGGTTCCATCTTGTTTTTTCTTAATGCTTCGTCTGAGATCAGCTCTGTCTGAGATCAGCAGTTTCGTTCTTTTTCGGAAGCTTGAGCTGGGACACCAACATTGAGCAGGGTGGCCTGATTTTATTCTCCAACTATGCAGGCCCTCAAGTCGCTGATCATGCAACGTACCTGAGTCCCCGATTGAAAGACGTCCAGCGGCCAACGCAGGGACATGGAGATTTCAGGCTTAGAAGCTCAAGCAGTCAATTGGACAAGGACTAGCACAGCCCCTAGGAAGCATCCCAGAGGCCACACTGGAGGAGCTGGCTAATATATCAGATCCTATGCAGGGGACACCTGTCAGCAGTGACCCTGCCACTCCATCATACAGCCCCTTTGGAGCACCGGAACAGGAGGCAGCCACTGCAGAAATTGATTTTGCTACCGAGCACACAGAAACTGAGCAAGCTGGCACCGCAGCTACCGATTCAGGACTGGCAGCAGAGCAAGTGGCTATGCGTGCTATCTATAGCTAACTGCTTGCCTTCGTGGAGCAGGGCCACCCGCCGTGCGCTTTCATCCCAAAAGAACTCTTGGCCCTATATGCTAATCCCCTGTTCTGGCAATACGGTCTCCTTGCATTCGTCTCAGGGTGCTGTGCCTCTAACATTGACCTGCTCAAACGCGCAACTGAGGCAAAAACGGATCCCGCCAAACAGGAGGACACTATCGAGAGTGAAGTTGATGCACTAACATTTATGCAAGCTGTCATCATGTCCTTCGTGAGAGGAATGACCGATGGACAGCAAGAGCTCCCCATCAATGACCTCTTCGTCTACCTCCCAGTGTACTCCCTGGCTTTCCGGTAGGCACCTACTACCAGGAAAGGGTTGTCTTCTGCTCGTCCCTTGTTTTGTTAGTGCGGTATCCCCATCCACTTTTCAGCTCTCTTGGTTGATACTGATGGTCAATAATTGACTGAACTAGATGAAATACAATAATGATCCACAAATGCCCGCAACACCGTGGACGGAAAGGGCCTATGTATCAAGGCCACTCGACCCTTCACTGGGTCAGTCCATGTCATTCCCATCCTTGCCCCAGCTGAAGCTTCGCTTGGAGGTCCCTCTCTGGACTGATCTCAGTGAAACCAGATACCCCCCACCACACCCTCACTCTGGTGAGTCAGCTGCTGATTCAAGCATCACAGGCGCAAGGGAACCTTCGCCAATGTATGCGCAACCGGTGGGAGGGGCAGACAATCAGCGATGACCCAATATGGGAGGCTTTGCAAAAGAACACGCAGTTTACCATAGTGCTTCGTGATTGCCTCGCAGTTCTTCACTCGAAGGAAAGCTTCGACGAAGGTCCATATCGAGATATCCCACAAGCGGTCAGAGTTCCAATGAACCTGGCAGGAATTATTCCCGCTGGTGCCTTTGTCGCTGTGCCGCGCTTGCGTCATGTCAGTGTAGAAGCAGGCATATGTGCCATTGGAGCTGAAGCCTGGCAAAGCTGCCGACATCTTCGGGTGGTCAGAATGCCTAGTACAGTGGTGCGAATTGCGGATAACACCTTTCGAGGGTGCCAGCTGCTCAACAGCATCACAGCGCCAGACTGTGTAGAATTTGGGTACAAAGCATTTGCGGACTGTTGCTCCTTGCAGTGGGTTCATGCTAATGGGGGGGGGGCTAACCAATTTGGAAGTGCAACCAAATTGGGACACTACCTCTTTCGAGATTGTATCAGCTTAGCCACGTTTGTCCTTCTGGAGGACGGCCGCCAACAGGAGCCACAGACTCAGGCTGGGACTAAAGAGTTGCTGCCGGGATGTCTGCGCTCCACTGGAATCACTACACTGGAGTTAACTCGAGATTTCCAAGTGCTGGGTGCACATGCCTGTGACAACTGCAAATTGCTTAAGCAGGTAGATATCTCGAACGCAAGCATTGAGGAAATCCAGGAGTTCACTTTTGTGCACTGTGCCAGCCTCCGTGAGGTCAGACTGCCGTATTCATTGCGTACCATCAGAGTTAAAACTTTTATGAACTGTGCTGCATTACCAGAACTTGCTATCCCGCCCTCACTGCATTACATTGCCAGTAGGGCCTTCCTGGATTGCGCATCACTTTGTAGGCTCATAAAACTCCCAGGCCGAAAAACCACATGGCGGGGGACTTATGCAGAGGAAAATGCCTTCGCCATTTGCCCTGCCATGCGATGGCCGCAGTGGCTGCACATGATCCCGGACCAAGGCTATGTGTCGGGCTTAGCCTAGCTCGCCCACCCATACTTACGGCGGTTAAACAAACGTCTCACTTGCCACTGCTGTCCAGGCAAGCTGGATCAGCTGCTCGCCAAGTTCGTCTCCACACCTTGCTGTTTAGTGAGCCGACCTGGCTGTGCGCCTCAGCTCTTGGCCGGAGATTGGCGCGCGGCAGTAGAACTGTAGACGATTGCTGCCCAGGTGAGAACCTCAGTTCTTTGTCTGTGGGAGGCAGCACTCAGCCAATCTTGTACAAAGATGGCGCAAGGACCATGCTAGGATATATTTTGGTTTCACCTGTTTCACCAGGGCCATGCATGTCCGTGGATAGTGACCTTTGATGACCGCTCTATCCATCTCATTTTGCAATGTGCACACCCCCCAGGCTCCTCCCGCTTATTGCCCGGGAGCCATTTGGGCGGGCGTGTGATGCCTCCCCCTGCTTGAGGGAGGTCAGTAGGTTGCCTGCAGCCGCACGTTCGTTGCGATGTCCATCACCTCTGTTTCCCAGTCTGGCCACAGCCTCCTTTGCTCGTGCAGTCATTTGTAGTGGTTGTGCCATAGAAAGGCTGTTTTCCAAGTCCTGCAAAGCATTGCAACTTGATGACCTGTAACGATCATCTTGGACCTGATGTGCTGCGTATTATTTGCACCAGCTGCTCTGCTAGTCTTCGAACAAGACTGAAGTGCCTGCAACCGAACCTGACAAGGGTGACTTTTCCCCTTGTCTGCGCACGAAGGCCACCGTTGAATGGCCTTCAAGGACAACAGCCAAAGTCCTGATACAGCATACTGCCTACGTCGAGAATTCGGGCCCAACTAGTTAGTACGACGCTCTCTCATGTTTCACACGTTTCACCTTAGTACAGACGAAACTCTGCCCACATTGGTTGTTGGGGTCCTTTGGCGCTGGTGATTTTTGGGGGTTGTTTTTGGGGGTTTGGGCTTGTTTGTGTGTTTGGTTTTTTGTTTTTCGGTTTGCTCCCCTTACCAATATGCAGAGTTTCCATCCTTCCTATGATGACCTGGGCACACCGCCCAGATGGCGTCCGTACTCGTGGAAAAAAAGACAAGCTCCAGCTCACACCCAAAGGTGCTATGCTTGCCTATGAGCGGGAGGCTCTCGAGTACCGCATTCTCAAACTCGCTAAGGCGATCAAATTCCTGTAGTTCGATGGCAGCTGGATTTCATCCCCAGCCAAGGTAACCATGTCTGCTTCCCCACCCGGTCCACTATAGCAGCCTTTTGCCCGGCGCCGTTGCAGCAATTGAGTTTCGAACACCTCAGAGAGCGGCCCACTGCCGAAGTCCACATTGGATGCCAGGTCGGAAAGGTCTACCGCCTCGTTCTACAGAATCGTGAAGGTGTGTGTGCGGTATTAGCCGTTCTTTTGGCATGTGCTACGCAAGCCAGGCGTAAGTCAAACCGCAATGGGCAGGAGTCGTACCAAGACAAAGTTAGACGGCAAAGCAGTCCTCGCTCATGGGAGGTCGCCCTTGTCCCTTCCCTGGTGATTTCGCGCCGCTTCCCACTCTGCAAGAAACCGGTGCTGCACAAGAGGCTCAGTGGGACTTCCCTCCAAGCCTTCGTGATCTGACATCTAGAGCGGTTAGTTTTCAGCTCCTTGCACTGGCCGAAGTGGGCAACACAGTCACGGCAGACCATCTTGTGCAAATGGCCACAATTCCACCGGAGCACAAATCCACCGCATTGGGAATACCAGCGCACCTGCCCATCCCATATCAGCTCGACTGCTCTCGAGCCATGCTTCAGAGCCTGCACTTGCTGTTTGACACAGCGAGTGCGGTTGAATCGAGACATGTTTTGGCATGTTACAGATCCTACACAAAGAGATCCTAGAAGCAGTTGCTTTGCTGAGTAGAAAGGCGTGGATGCACTTGAGCGTGCACCCACAAGGCAGGGTGTTAGATTCGTTCTGACTGAATCAAGATGACACATGAGTACAGAGCGCAGTTCACAAACACTCAACTGCAGTGGCTTTGATCTCAAGAGAAAAAAAGCTGCAGCCATGTTTTGACACTTGTATGATCAAACTTATGATCATGAATAGTTCCTAAAATACATTTTTAGCTTTTTGTTTTCCGCAACCTTTTGCCCGAATGGTTTGGGAACGAAGGCAGCGTGAACGGACATTGATTGAGGGGGGCTCAACCGCCATGTGCGAAGTTGTATGTGAAAGCAGTTGAAACATGGGGATTGATGCAACTGGGTATACAGTCAATGGCATCATCTCAGTTGGATCCCAAATACGTGGCTGAAAACACTTCTGGGGCCCTCGCTTCTGTTTTATTCTTGAACCATATTTTTGGCGAAGCATATACCTGGCGCAGATGTCCGATGCTTGGATGCAGGCGTTTTGTGTGGGTTCAGGCGAAAACCATTCGCAAGCCAAGGTTCAGTGCAAATGCCGGAGGACAAAAATCTACACTATTCTGAAGATCCTTGGACCCTCCATAGGTCAAGTCCTATATCACAAGGCTTTGTACCCTCAAAGCCCTTGTTTTCGAAACAGCGCAACTGTCCAAGCTCTTAAATGACCATCGGCATCATAACACGACAGCATCATCCAACAAAAGTTCTGAACTTGGGTTGTTCACCACACACGAAGAACGCTTCAGACAGTGCAGAAAGGGTTAAGCCGAAGGAATGCATCGTGAGACAACTAAATGAACCGTTCACCCTAAAGGTTCGTTTGCTGTGCGCAATGGCTTCGTTTCCTCCTTCTCGTACTCCACTGGCCTGCACTGAGTGTGGTAGCCGATTCTTCCTGCAGGATGAGGACCAGGATATGAAGGTTTGCAGCTCGCACCTTGGACCTTTCAGCGTTTCCTTGCCGTTGTCCTTTTTACGCCAGCGTTTTGGAGAACACACGCATGATATTGACTAGTTGCTTCTTGTTACTGGTAGTAAGGCCAGGAACCCCGTTTGTAGCGTCCTTGCTCCTAGTAGCGATGCCCTTTGTTACTAGTAGCTTCTTGATATTGACTAGCAAACATCTCAAACATGAGGAACCAGGGTTTCTAGGTCACCAGTGACGGAGTGCCCAACGGTGGTGGGCCTAGCTCGAAGTAGTGTAACTGACATATTGACTGCGAGATGTTCTCTTCAACAGAAGATACCAAACCAGAGTTTTGGTTGACTTGAAGATACCAAAATGGAAGGCTCTATGAGTTTTTTCTATTTTAATTCAAGATACCAGAATGGCAACCTAGAGCAAACGGAAGCTAATAGGAATGGCCTCCAACCTCATAGCGATGGCCTCCAACTTGCTTAAGGAGCTTGTAGCTACTTAAGCTAAAGACTTGCAATATTTTTTGTTGAGCAACCTTGAGATGTTTACCATTGAATCTTCTAGTAAGAAGAAGCTACCCAGGACGTAGGACGGGCATCGACACTACGTTCACGTCACGTGGTCCGGGGCATAGGACGCTACGTTCGTCGGTTTCGGGCCACGGGGTTTCGGGCCGACAGGTGCGGAGCTACACAGACTCAGACACTTCTGGAAGTGAGCGAGGAGGTCTTTGAGACACAGCAAGTGAAGGGCGTTCAGTTCTTGCAGCAAGAGGACCAGAGAGTGGACGGAGAGAGGAGAGAGGAGAGAGGACCGGCACCTGGAACGGTTCTTGGAGAATGGAACTGTTCAGACGACAGACGATACTCTGACAGAAGATGGCACTTCGGACATGCAAAGAGCGACCTGTCTCCGTCGTTGGTTCACGACGCTCCGCCGCTGGGGACGGGGACGGACAGACGTTCTTCGCTTCAGACGGGGATGATGACATCAACATATTGAAGACTTAGGTTTAGGGTTTAGGGTTTAGGATGAACTCATCCCTTAAGGATAAGACAAAGTCTAAACCTTTGTCTTGTTCTTTGTCTGAAATAAGACTCCTTTTCGAAGCCGTTGCATTGCTCCACGCCCATTTATATATACATACACAGGTGTAGGTAAGCTGGGCAGGGAGAGAGAGAGAGAGAGAGCTCGTCACAAGCCGAACCATCGCATGAATCACATTGAACAAGGACATAAGCACAACAGACCGAAAGCAAATTCCATCACACACATATGCCGAAAAGATGAAGTACCATACCAGGTGCCAAACAAGCAGATTCCTAGCAGGAACCAAAGGTACTCTATGCCCCGTCGACCTGTACTGTGCATGTCAACCTGGACACAGGTGTCACAGGGGAGTTCAGCAACTTCAACAAGTGACCCAGCCAGCAACTCTGCACTGGATCGTCCCGACACAGTACCCTGCAATCCTTTGGCTCTGACAGTACTCACGAATCCGGCATCGCGGTTCATCTTCATCGCAGTGGTTGCGTCTGCAATTCTGGATTCTTGTTTCCAGGTGATTCTCCGTTTCATATTGAAATTCTTATGCCTCAAATCGTCCCTGCTCAGGCATTCTTGCCATTCCCAAATTTGGAGGAATTGCCTGTTTTCCGAAGAGCCAAGTTTGATATGCTAGTCAAAAATATGATGCTTTTGATGCAACTCCCATTCCAGATGTGGCACCTAATTAGTTGCATGGTTGATGCGTTTGTGTGTATGTATATGGTTTACACTTGACATCATTTGACAATTTGACTGCTTAGAAACACCCAAGCAACATACTGTTCTTTCTGCTATCCTTGTCACCTTCTCTGGACTCTTGTATGGGTTTTCCTTCAGTCACCACCGGGAAGGTACTGGGTAGGCCTGCTTCCTCCGAAAAGCCATTGTGGGGGAAATCGGTTTTCCCACTAACCAAGAGTAGGTGGAAAGGGAGTCAGCCGCACATCAGGTCCGTGGACACCCCCAGACACTCCGCAGACCTTGCTTAAAGACATTACTTAGCTTTTTTCTTCTAAAGACAGGTGGGCCAACCGAATAGCCATGGCCTCCTGGATGTGAAAACCACACCGCAAACCCACCCAAAACCGGCACCACCCGCTACGTAGTCACCGTCAGGAGGACTACGCGGGTCGCACGAGCCTCAGCGCCTTGGAGCAGATGAAAAAGCGATTGGACGAAGAGACAAGTCCAGATGTCCATCGACAAGTCCAAGCAGCGGCGAACCGGAGCGCAAGGGGCCTGGGAGCGGAGTGGAGAGAGGGGGGGCCGGTTCGGGGCGCAACGTAGGTCCAAGAACGAAGAACTCACGGCTTTTTGGAAATCCGTACGTTGCAAACGCATTTTTGCGATTGGGATGTGGTACTACATGATTCATGCCTGTTCGATGCTGGGGTGTTCGTTCAGCTGCCAGATGAGTCAGTGCACCGTTTCTGCACGACCTGTACTGTGCATACGAAGTTTGATTGTACTGAGTTTTCTATTCTTTCTTTCTTTTTTGTCATGGCGTCTGCTCCACCATTCAGACTTTGTTCAGCAACAGAACTACTTGCATGCTAGATGTGTTCTCTTGGGGCTACACAGTTCTTTCCTCCATGATGCCAACCTTTGCACGATCGTTTCAGTGAGAGATATGCAAGATGTCTACTATCCTGACAATCTGTTAGCAGGACGGTTCCTGACAGGATCGCAACCAAGGACACCGACAGGATCGCCACATATACATGATACTTGTTCCAAAGGGTTTCTTCACCTGGCGGTAGGTGCCAAGTGTCCCGGGATCCGTTACTTGATGTGGCCTGTATGCAGCAGCTGCACGGATTCGGCAGACTGCTTGCGTCCAGCTAAGAAAGTCCGTTCTGGCTGTCAGATATCCATGGTAGACAGCCATGCTGCAGGGTTGCTGGATGCAGATGTTTTTTTTAAAACACACTTCTGTGGTGAGCTTGGGGCACCAACCACTGGGGCAGCAACCCGCAGTGAATTCTTCAAATGGGTGATTCACAACTCATTTTTGGCTTCGCGGGCTGAATGCCACCCCAGATGGTTTCTGGGCTTCCGGAAGGTCACAGGAAACCTCTCCCAACAGGCAACCTCAGCCCGAATCACCTTTGGGGAGGGGACAGTGGATGGCCTCCGACCTAGAAGCAAAAGGAACCTGACCTAATGGCAATGGCCTCCAACCTACTACCAATGGCATCCAACCCAATAGCGATGGCCTCCAACCTAATGTGAATGGCCTCCCTCCAACCTACTAGCGACGGCCTCCAACCCAATCAATAGCAATGCCCTCCAACCTAGAACCTAGAAGCAATGGCCTCCAACCTACTAGGGATGGAAGCAATGGCCTCCAACGTACTAGGCCGGCTCCATCCTATTAGCGAAGAGTTTAATTGCCTGTGGGTCATGGCAGGTTCCAAACAATCAAAGCCTCTTCCACCATGAGACAGCAATTTCTAGTTTGGGACGCTTCAACTTCTCAAGGCCAGTCAATGGTCAGGGGATCATCATCTCACTTCGTGGATGTTGGCAACATTTCTTTGGAAAGAGATCTTGAGAACGGCTGCGGGCTGCGCGGATGCAAGGGACTTGTGGTGGCAGGGTACGGATTGGTTCTCAAGATTGTATCGTAGGCCACTTTTGCTGGGGATATAGACGGATATAGATGATGTACACATATATCACGAAAGTCGGCCGATAGGCTGGGCTTGAGGTTCTTGAGCGAACGAAGTGAGTAAAGGGGGTGTGGGCAGGGTGGTCGCGTGGGTGGTCACTTCCGGAGAGGTGAACCCAGAGCCTGGTGGAGGAGAGCGACAAAAAGAGGCGGGCCACTTGGTAGTGAAAATGAATTGTTTTTGGGGGTGTTGTGATGCCGGTGATGTAATTGACGGCCAGTAATACATCATCAGCATCATGCGGGGCTCAGGAGGCCATGTAAATTGTTTTTACTAGGGGTGGGAGTTCACGTCGATGAGAGGAAAGGGAAGACAGGGGGACGTGAAAAGCTGGTTAGAAGTCACCGTATACTTGAGAGCAGGAAAGAGAACAGATTGCAGTTGCGGGCAAGCGTTGGAGGCGGAAGGTTTTGAGTTGCTTAGGGGTGCCCTTTTTTATCCGTGGCAAGGTCTAGTTGGTGGACTCAAAAGGGCACCCCGTATGGGGAGTATCTAATCACGAAAGCCTGCCCTTTTTCACCTCCACAACGCCCCGGCATCAAGACGAAAAAGGGACACCCCGTCGCAAACCTATGTACTGTAATTCTACTGTCTATTTCCATTCTATCTCGAATGACGGCCATATTCTTATTTCATTACTTGCGGCTCCTCTTTGTCCACTCTACCCAAAAACATATATGTATCCTCACGAAAGCCTGCCGATAGCCTCGCCCATCGGCTTCTCACAACCATTTTTGCTCACTGACTAGCAAGACGCAGCAAGCAAACTCATATACAAGCAGTTCCCGGGCAAGCCGGCGGGGAAGTTTCCTGTAACAATGAATTTGACCTTTAGGAGTGTCCCTGCGCACATGCCCTGCGGACCCCCTTTTGTTCCGGCGCGCAACGATGGTGTCATGCAAGCAGCCCACAACGGCGTACTCGCTCTGGCACTGTGCATGTAGTGGCACTGGCACGAATTCCTCTCGCTTCGAGGTTCACAAAGTGCTGGTCCTGCCACGAAATCTGCACTTCGAGGTTCACAAAGTGCTGTGCCTGCCACGAAATCTGCACTTCGAGGTTCACCAAGTGCTGTACCTGCCGCGAAATTTGCACTTCGACGTTCGCCCAGTGCTGTGACTGCCACGAAATCTGCAAACAAGCCACATATCCAAAAGTCACGATTCACTGCACCTGTCACGAAATCTGAGCTCCGTGTCCAAAGTGCTGCGCCTCCCACGAAAACTGCATTTCGAAGTAAAACAGCTCCGAACCTGTCACGAAAAGTCGACTTCGAAGAGCCAAAACACGAGGTTTCTCCTGCGCCTGCCACGAAAAGTGACCACCGTGTGCGAAAATGTGCACGGCGCCACAACGAGAGCACAGTCGTTAGAAGTACCCGCCCACTAGTTACGATGGAGGGACGATTCGAGCATGATCCGAGCATGACGCGAAGCCATTCCGCAACCGTCGTTCCGCAGAGCTAGCCTTGCCAGGTTCGGAACCACCCTTTGCATTGAAAAACGCAGCATTCCCTGCCGCTATCTCTCGAACGCATTTTGTACTGTGCCTGCCACGAAATCTGCGCATCGAGGTTCATAAAGTGCTGCGCCTGCCACGAAATCTGCGCATGGAGGTTCGCAAAGTGCTGTGCCTGCCACGAACTCTGCACATGGCTGTTCACAAAGTGCTGCACCTGCCACGAAATCTGCGCATCGAGGTTCACAAAGTGCTGCCCCTGCCATGAACTCTGCACATGGATGTTCACAAAGTGCACATTGAGAGGTTCACAAAGTGCTGTTCCTGCCCCGGCATCTGCGCATCGAGGTTCACAAAGAGCTGCGCCTGCCAGGAAATCTGCGCATTGAGGTTCACAAAGTTCTGCGGCGCCTGCCACGAAATCTGCGCATGGAGGTTCACAAAGTGCTTGCCTGCCACGAACTCTGCGCATGGATGTTCGCAAAGTGCTGTGCCTGCCACGAAATCTGCACATCGAGGTTCACAACGTGCTGCGCCTGCCATGAACTCTGCGCATGGATGTTCACAAAGTGCTGTGCCTGCTACAAAATCTGCACATCGAGGTTCACAAAGTGCTGTTCCTGCCACGACGTCTGCGCATCGAGGTTCACAAAGTGCTGCGCCTGCCACGAAATCTGCGCATTGAGGTTCACAAAGTGCTGCGCCTGCCACGATCACACTTCAAGAAACAAGTGAAAACTCTAATTAGAATGGAGGGACGATTTGAGCATGATCCGACCATGATCCAAGCATGACGCGAGGCCATTCCGCAACCGTCGTTCCGCAGAGCTAGCCTTGAAAAAGATAGCATTTCGCGCGTCCGGCCGCTATCTCTCGAACATGCATTTTGTACGAGACTTCCTTCCAAAGTGCATGTTGAAGAGCTGTTATAGAGCCAACTAAAGCTAGAGCTGACTGGAGGAATAGGAGTAGTAGTGGTAGTAGCAGTAGCAGTAGCAGTAGCAGTAGCAGTAGCAGTAGGAGTAGTAGTAGTAGTAGTAGTAGTAGTAGTAGTAGTACCAGTAGTACTAGTAGTACTAGTAGTACTAGTAGTGGTAGTAGTAGTCGTCGTAGTAGTAGTAGGAGTAGGAGTAGTAGCAGTAGTAGTAGTAGTAGTAGTGGTAGTCGTAGTAGTAGTAGTAGTGGTAGTAGTAGTAGTAGTAGTAGTATATTGTATGTTGTATGTATGTCGTAGTAATAGCTTTTGAAAGTTCGTAACACGGAAGTTTTGCTGCACACTAAACTTCCTTTGAGTATATTTGAGGATTTTGAGGGGTGCTCTTTTTCATTTCCAAAACACTCCTGGACCTGGACGAAAAAGGACACCACCCCTTTTAATTCTACCTTCTGTTTCTACCTCCTATCGGGTGCCTGCGACCCCAACTTCACCCCATGAAAGTACTCTTTGCCCGATGTTAGCCATTCACTTCATCTTGCACGCTCAAGTGGCTCCAATATCAACTTCACCACTTCGGGCTACTCTTTGTCCACTCTACCTATATACATATATGATACATATGTGTATCCGCGCCATAGCCTGCCCATAGCCTCGCTCACTGATTTGCAGTGCCCTTTTTCACCTCCAAAACGCCCCTGAAACGGGACAAAAAAGGGCACCCCCAAAGCCCCGGTAAACAAGGTTTCAAATTGTTGGAGCGAACGAAGTGAGCATATGTCCTCGCGAAAGCCTGCCGATGGCAACCGTCTCTGGACACTCATTACCAACACGCAGCTGACGAACTCGCTTGCAATCTTTGGGGGTGCCCTTTTTCACCTCCAAAACATTCCTCAACCAGAACGAAAAAGGGCACCCCCTTTTTACTTCTAGCGTCTGTTTCCACCTCCTATCACGCGCCGGATGCCAACTTCACCCCGTATTCTTTACATAATGTTAGCCTATCACTTCATCTTCCACCGGCACGTCGCTCCCATATCCACCTCACCACTTCCTGCTGCTCTTTTTCCACTCTATCTTGCACCCCGGGGACCTCCTCACCTGCCCTACCCTTTGCCTCACACGTGCACCCCCGCCGCCGTCTCTGCTCCCTGGTTCGCCACACGCCGCCCGCAAAGGCGCCTCACTTCCTGACGGGTGCCCTTTTTCATCCCAAAATTTTCCCTAAACAAGGACAGAAAAGGGCGCCTCCCCCCCAAGTGGCTGCGATGCCAACTTCGCACTACGAACTTTCTCTTCCTTTTGCACGCCGCGTCCTTGCCCGAGCCTACCCTAAGAGCACCCCCTAAGCCAGAGGTTGGCTTTCGTCCCCTCCCCTCTCAGGTAGATTGGGTGTTTCGGACCGCCGGCCCCTGAAGCTCTTGCTCGGGCCTATCGACACCCCAATACGGGGGGGTCCGGGGGTGGGTTTCCTGTATTGAAACGGACTCGGAACGAACCCTCCAAGACGCACGGTTTCAGGTTTCGGAGGCACTTCTTGTGTCGGTTTCCAAAAAGAAGGGAACAATTCTTGGGTGTAAAGACACAGCCCTTTTTTGGAAACATCTACAGTTACGTCTACATCAATCTACAGGAGGGTTGGAGATGCTTTTGCGATTTTAAAGGAATTCTTGTCATCTTCTTGACCTTGCCGGAACATGTGTGTCTTCACTCCCAGCTTCTCCCTCCTCTTTGTTGCTTCGGCACGGAATCCACGGTGGGCCCCGCGAGTGAGGCGAGGAGAGACTGAACCTGGTGACGTTGAACCGCCACGGTCGCAGCCTTTGGTTGGCCTTCTTCGAGGCTTCAAGGCCACAACCGTACCACACCAGCTATGAGATGAGAACAGAAAAGGAGTGGTACCATTTGGCTTGGTCTCAGCACGAAAGAGATGCTTGACTGCCTGTCAAACCAGTTGAGATGGTTTGACCATCCAGTCTTTAACATTCCAAGTTTGAGGTTTAGGGGCTTTTCTTTCAGGTTACTTTCAGATGCCCATCTCACTTTTGAAGACATCGACAGATGTTCAATATCCAAGGACTTGATCAAAAAGGCTATGCTGCAGGATTCTCAGGAGCTTCACGCTGAGGCCCGTGCACAGGCACAGGTGGTGGTGCACGATGGAGATGAGGCAGAGAGAGAGAGAGAGAGAGAGAGAGAGAAGCTGAAGTAAGCTTCAGTCGCCCACTTTCCACGGTGTTTGCACCCGTTTGTTGTTGACGTTTCGGGACCGGACTGGAAAAACCGAGGCAGAGGTGGACGGCCATGTGAAGCTGAAAGAGAGGGTCAAAGAGATCCGAGAAACGAACAGATACAGATTAACCTTAAGCGGTCCGATGGTCCTGGCTTTATTGTACTTGGCAGTGAACAACTGTGGTGTCAAGCCCTTTCTACTGGGCGATTTGCTCCGGGCGGCTGCCGACGGTTGGTTGAGACCTTTGATCTGTCGGATTGAGACCTTGCACGCTGATCAATATATCCTTTATTCCAACCAGAGCCGTCACTTGGTGGTTTGCGGAGATAGGATTGTTTCATTCTTCATGTTCCCCAATTCATCTACGGATGAATCCCCTTAATTAAACTAGGGGGGAAGAGAACAGTAACAGACTGTATATGTTCATGTTGTTTATTTTTCAGCTTCTGGACTCGACGATCCATCCAGGTCCGGTTCAGAAACCCATCGTCTTCCCGGAGGTGGCTGTTTGCCTTGACGAGTTGGAGGCTCGCCAATTTCCTTGTGTGCGTCTTGCGCCCCAACAGCTGCTCCGTCGATTTGGAGAGAATATCGGCAGAGCAGAGCAGGATGTCATGCTTGTGGCCAACTTCGTGTTTGGGCCGGGAGGTTGGACGTACTTTTGTAGATTATACTTTTTATTTGTGAATCCCAAATCTTTGGAACAGGTAGTTAGGTTAGAGGCCTTATGTTGATACCAGGTATGTCGCATAGCCATTGATCTGGAGATGTGGCCAAAATGCTCATACGAAGACAAGATGGACCTCATGATAGTGCTACTGACGTCACCCTCGTCGGTCCTCTTTGCCGAGCTGGTGGCTTTAGTGTCAGTGCTGGCCGCTGTCTGGATTCTAGAGCGAAAAGTGCCAAATGCGAAGAGAAAGAGGAGAAAGTCCCCGAAGGCTCAGAAAGAGGAGAAGGAGGAGGGAATGGAGAAAGAGACAAACGGAAGGCAAAACGATGCCAAGAAGGAAAGGAATGCCCAGAAGGACACGAAGGTTGGAAAGGACGAGGACAAGAAGGACAAGACGAAACAGAAAATGAAGGAACAGAAGAACGATGCCGAGAAGGCCAAGGTTGTTAAGAAGGCCAAAGCCAAAGAGGCCAAGGCCAAGGTTGAGATCAAAGAGGAAGCTCACGAAGCTGAAGAGCACGGCTCGAACACGCACCTCGCTGCTCCGGTCTGCGCCCCCAAAGCGGGTCACGAAGCCCCGCACGAAGCTGTAAGGCCAAGGCCGTGTGCGGGACCCTTTATGAGAACGGTGCAGGACCTGATGCACAGAGGCTTCCAGCCATTGGAAACGAGTGAAGCAACGGGTGAAGCAACGGGTGAAGCAACGGCCGATTTCGAGGATCCAGAGGATTTCGATCCAGAGAATCCATGGATCCACTGGAGGCGTGAAGGCATTTGGAGCGCAAGTGATCTCAGAGCGGTCCATCAGCACTACTCCGCATCCCTTCAGTTCCAACCATGGAACCTGTTGCGCCTTCGTGTCCTCGCCGAGCAGGGCACGTGGTTTTGGTGGGGCCAGGTCGGACGTCCGCTGATCCGAACCTCGGCGATCCGAGCTGGTCCGATCGAGCTGGTTGCCTTTCCAACCACCGAGGGGTCGGCGATTCTGGAGTCGAATGGTTGTTTGGGCACCATGCGGTGTGGGAAAGGCCTTGAACGGGGGGGGCGGAGGGTGAGGACTGAGGACTGAGGACTGAGGACCTGAATGGAAGCATCGGCCCACACTCCCATCTTGAGGTCACAACATCGGATCTTCCAACGCAGACGAAGCATTTCCCTTTTTCATCTAGAAAACCGGCATAAACCAGCCAACAGGCTGGATCTAACGGGCAGAGACTTTGCACAGTTGGGAGTCTGATCGGATCAGCTTTTCCCCAAACAGTTTACTGTTGGGGTTCGTAATGCTTTTAAGTGTGTCCGCCTCAGTCTGGGCTGGTGTACCCGCCTTCTGGCAACTCTTTAGTAACTTTAGTTAGAAATTCAGCTGGTGGGTCCGCCTTGTGTGTCTCCTCTTTGGCAACTCCTTAGTAGCAATTCTTTGCAACTCCTGGGCAGCAACCTAGTGGCATGTGTTTGACACTCTTCGCTAGTGTGTCCGCCTTATGGCAAGTCCTCCATAGTCGTTCTTTACATTCTTGCCTCTCAGTTGGCAAATTGATAGCAGCAAATCTTTGCATTTGTCCGCCTTCCTTCTGACAACTGCGTATAGTGGCAATCTTTTTGGCACTTGCCTGCCAGTCTGGAGTAATGAGTCCACCTTCTGGCAACTCCTTAGTAAAAGTATCTATTTTGTTTCCTCTGGGGTAGCGTACCTGCCGGCAACTGCAAACCACATGTGCCTCCGGGCCAGTGTGCCCGCCTTGTGGGGATTTGCCCCAATAGCAGTTCTCACAATTACTGACTCCCAGTTTGGGCTGCGTTCCAATTGTCAATTTTCGAGATGCATTTCTTCACGGTCAACTGTTTGGGGTGTACGGTGGTGTTGTTATGTTTTTCTTTTTGATGCTTTCAGAAGGACCATCGGAGACATAGAGAGAGCGAGCGTGTGGGGGGTGCGCTAGAGATCAATGAATCCACTAGGCTCCTCCGGGCCCCCCCCCCTAACAGCGGCCTCTTCCCCTAACAGCGCGATGGCAAACCACCGATTCCACCGCCTCGAACTAGGAATGCTCGAGTTTGTCATCACCCAGTCTTGTAGGCTGGGCTTTGTGACCTGGGAGGAAGCGGAGCGGCATGAGCATTGCTCCTGGGTGCTGAAGGGCAGCTCTGCGCCCGTGCGCGGCCGAGAGGAGACGTTTGTGGAGACGCAACTCCACGTTTTCAAAGGATTTCTGAACAAGAACTTTATGGATGAACTGGGCCGAAAACCTCGGGGAAAGTCGACGCGCCGAGCGAAGACCGACGGGGTTCTTTCGGGCGACGCGAAGGTACGGGAGTTGGTTCGGCAGAGAGCCAAAGCGAAGCTCTGGTGCCAAACATTTTGCAGTCACAAGCCACCAGAAAAAGAAATGAAGGTAACTTGCTTTAAATTTGGCTTGTTCGTGTAATTGCCCAGATATGTCCTGCAGCTTCAAAGACTTCTTTGAGAGTGGTTTGTCCAAGAGTCTGCCAGGAAGCGCAGGAACAGCAGGCAGACGGAACTTGAAGCCACAGAAACAAACCTAGGCAGAGGGGACCATGTTGCCTTCGAGTCATCCAACCTTCTGCAATTCTTTCTCAGTGCCGCTCGAGTTGTCCATATTTTCGATGAGTCCTGCGCGCCGCTTCGTTTTTCTTGCTCAAGATGTCCAAGCGCGCGCGGCGCTTCTCGCGACTGAAGTGAATGGGCGAGATTCGGGAATTCTGGGACGGAAAGTCTACTAGGAGCAAGGACGCTACTAGGGCTCCTGGCATCGCTACTAGGAGCAAGGATGCTACTAGGGGCTCCTGGCATCGCTACTAAGAGCAAGGATGCTACTAGGGGCTCCTGGCATCGCTACTAGGAGCAAG